AGTGAACATTTAAGGATCCGAAGGCATCCATGCGGATCTTGCTGGTGTATTCCCTTTCTGGATTCTTATACGTATATAAAGCTTGCATAATTTTTATATATGGTAAGGGTATGTTATTCAGCCACTTAGAAGTGTACACTGAATGTCACGGAGAAGTGTATATAATAATAGTGCACAGAGTGTTTCACTATCGCTAGTGCACAAAGTGTTTCACTATCACTAGTGTGGTCACGATTTGTGTGATTGGTGCATTAAATTACTTTGGGTAAGGCAGGGGTGTATTTACCACAAGGCAAACAAGGCATTTGCCTAGGGCGGCATTTTTCAGGGGGGGGGGGGGTACTGTCCCTTGGAAGAAGGAACGGAAAAAGGGACACACGCAGCATGGGGACCTGGTGGGTTCCGAGAGAGGCTGCGGGCTTCATGATGGTGTATGCACAGCCCAACTCTTGTTCCTGGGGATGTCCGGAGCTGTGAATGTGAGTGTCTCTCTCTCACTATGGGGAATGGTGGCTGGTGTTGGGGGGCAGTGGTAGTGGAAGGCTATCTCTGGTGGGGGGCAGGGGTGTTGTTGGTCAGTGTCATGCTCTCTCTGCAGGAGGGGGGCGATTTTTGTGTTGTCTAGGGCAGCACAAAACCTAAACACACCACTGGGATAAGGGGGGTATACGGGATGCCCAATCGAACTGTGAAACCGAGGGCAACTTCCCAAACTATGTACAACTGGGTACAGCAAACAGTTTGTTTTGGAAAGCTAGCCAGTGTCTCCTGTAGTACCGCCCTAGACCCTAGATACTCCTTATCCAGCTGTTTTGGGTGAATCCCTGAGCAGGGGATCCAGTGTCTGCCACATAAAATGGTGAAACAGTCCTGGGTGGCAGGCTAATCCAGTTTTCCACTAGAGTGCCTCCTTCCCCTATCTGGCCCAGGGGATGTAGGTCTACTCACTCAGTCCTTCTCCTGTACTCCTTCCCTGCCTCACAGGTGGTCCTCTCTCAGGGAACCAGTGAAGTTCCAAGTTTTCTTACTTCCAAGGTCCTCTGCCTGTAGGTGAGCCCCTCTCCATCTGGGCCCCCTCGCAGGCTCCTGCCTTCCAGCCTCACATCCTCCTGAATTCTCCACCAACTCCTCTCCAACTCCCTGCTACTGAGCTGGCTCAGTTACTCTTAAAGGCTGTCATGGCCCCTTGTCAAGCCTCCTGTTGGGGGTTGGCCAGGATCCTCTAAGAGTACAAACCAGGTACTCCTCAGCTCTGCCCACTGCTTTTAGATCTTTCTCCAAAGTTTTAGAGCAGGGGGAAATTCCAGAAGGCGGTTCTGCAGAGCCTCTCAGTTCTGACCATAATTTGACACCTGCTAGCTATCGCACCCAAGATGCTACTCAGCCTTCCTAGCTAACAATTAGAGTCTAGCTCCCCCTAGCTGATTAGGAGGGTGCTACACAAGGAATTCAGGAAGTTGTGTGGTCAGCAGACAGGCAGCACTCACAAGATGAAGGGAGATTTCTCAAGTAAGTTTGTATTGGGTTGTCAAATATAACGTTTGTTTGTTTGCTGCTACAATGCTGATGTTATAAAATAAAAATGCTATGACTATGGAACTCCTTTTACTTTAAAACTATATTCATTTACTCTCATGTATACATATATCAGTCGTTTAGCTCAAATCTTAACTGGTGACCAACCTTTTCAGATCAAAAAGAGGAGTTTCATTAATTATCTATTTTATACTTCATAATACTTATTTGATGCCAATTCGGGTAGCAAGATATAAATCGTATAACCAAATATGCCCTGAGGGTCAAGGGAGCCCTGGCTCCTTTTTCTACCTATCTTGGTCCTGCCCACAGATACAAGCTTACTGGAAGCAAATAATAACCTTCTTGCATAATGTCATGAATTCTCCAGTGCAATTAGACCATTGGCTATGCCTGCTGGGTCTTTCTAAGTCTTTAGACTTAATCAGTTATCTGCACACTTTTTTGTAGGAGGCATTTTGTACTGTCAATACAACCTGACTAGAGATGAGCGAAGTATTCAAAAATTCGATTCGACTGATTCGGCGAATTCGTGGAAAAATTTAGATTCGAGTCGAATATATTCGCTGCGAATTTAACTTATAAAAGGGTGTTTCTAGGCTTCAGAGAGCCTTTATATTAGTGCAGAACACTGTACCTTTAATTTAAATGCCCTTGGAGTCTGCTGGGGAAGAAAAATAATACTGACAGTCAGTATGACATGCAGATGAGTGCCGTCGATCTTAGAATCACCGCACACTTCACTCATTTGGGCAGTCACGGGGCCCAAAACCAGAGTGTGGAGCCACAGTGTGGCGGTGGAGGCAGCAGCAATGGGAGGCCATACAGCACCCTATGACAAAAATGGAAACCACCAGCAGTGTGAGGAGACCTGAAAGTGGCACATGGCAGAGTGTGGCGATGGAGACAGCAGCAATGGGAGGCCGTACAGGGACCCATGACACACTCTGGACCTGGCAGCAGCATGAGGAGGGCCTGGGTACAGGGGCCCATGACAGATTACGGGCCTGGCAGCAGCAATGGGAGGCCGTTACAGGGACCCATGACACCCTGACTGGACCTGGCAGCAGCATGGGGAGGCGGTACGGGGGCCCATGACACACTCTGGACCTGGCAGCAGCATGAGGAGGCGGTACAGGGGCGCTTGACAGATTACGAGCCTGGCAGCAGCAACTTGGACAGGACGACGTTCAGCTTCTGCACCGTCGGGTGCGTGCTCGCAAACTGTTGTCTCTTGGAAAACGGATTCCAAGAAAGACTGCTGACGGAATCCGTGAAGAGGAGTAGCAGGAGAAGGAGCATCTGAACGAGCGGAATATGCCAACAAGCGACAACAGGGGCCCATGACAGATTACGGGCCTGGCAGCAGCATGAGGAGTCGGTATAGGGGCCCATGGCAGATTAGGGGCCTGGCAGCAGCTATGGGAGGCCCGTAATCTGCCAGCACCCTATGACAAAAAATGGAACACACCAGCAGTGTGAGGAGACCTGAAAGTGGCACATGGCAGAATGTGGCGATGGAGACAGCAGCAATGGGAGGCCGTACAGGGACCCATGAGAGACTCTGGACTTGGCAGCAGCATGAGGAGGCGGTATAGGGGCCCATGGCAGATTAGGGGCCTGGCAGCAGCTATGGGAGGCCCGTAATCTGCCAGCACCCTATGACAAAAAATGGAACACACCAGCACTGTGAGGAGACCTGAAAGTGGCACATGTTTGGGGCATGATTCATGGCGGATTTAGTCAGTTGTGTCAGGAACTGGTGGTTTGAAATCCAGACTAATCCACGCCTGATTCATTTTCACAAACGTGAGTCTCTCCACACTTTGGGTGGACAGTCGTGTCCTCCGCGGAGTTGCAATACCTCCTGCCGCACTAAACACGCGCTCCGATGCCACGCTACTGGCCGGGCATGACAGCCTTTCAAGGGCAAATTCAGCTAGTTGGGGCCAAAGGTCAAGTTTCGTTGCCCAGTAGTCAAGGGGATTGTCTACCTCGGTTGGCAGGGTGCTGTCCAAGTAGGCCTAAGCCTGTTGTTTGAGGTCCTGCTCCAGGTCCACCTGATGCTGCTGCTGCTGCTGCTGCGGCTGGTTATTAGTTTCCTCACTGCGCTGGTGAAGAAAGCTACTCATCATCGACTGCAGACTGAGGCAGCTGCTGCTGGTGGAGCTGCCACTGCTCCTACCACCCCACCCCTCCCCTGCTGCCATGGCAGCGGAACGCGAGCGCACAGGGCCCACAGTGTCTGAGGATGGACGTTGGCGCAGACAGGCAGAGACCAGCTGACTACATAGGTGGTTTTTATAGTACGTTATTTTGGCCTCCCTCTCAGCAGGTGTGAAAAAGGCCACCATTTTTGAACGGTAGCGAGGGTCCAACAAGGTGGACAGCCAAAAGTCATCCCTCTGTCTGATGGTTATTATTCGGCTGTCGCTACGCAAGCAAGCGAGCATGCTATGGGCCATTTGTGCCAAGGAATGCGAGGGACTCCCTGCCTCCATCTCCACAGCATACTGCCACGGTGCGTCTGGGTCCTCTGTCTCCTCTTCCTCCTCCTCTACCAGATGCTCCTGCTCCTCCACTCCTGTCCGCTGAGTGGAAAAACCACCCATTTCACTCAATAATTCCTGAGCACCAATGTCCTCCTCTACCTCCTCCTCTTCTTCCTGTCCTGCCCCCACAGGGGTCATGTGGCGTTGAGATCTGTGCGCCACGTCTACCGCACCCTGACCAGCCATTGGTAACAGCATTTGTTCCAGGACGTGCAACAGAGAATGACGTCGTTCATCCCATAGTCCTGCCGACTCACGAATAGCGTGGCCTCCTCAAAGGGCCTGAGCAAGCGCAGGTGTCACGCATGAGCTGCCAATGGCTGACATCTAAGTTACACAGGGAGTACCTTTATCCGCTTTTAACATCAGGAAATCTGTGATGGCCTTTTGCTGTTCGTAAAGGCGGTCTAACATATGTAGGGTTGAATGCCACCTTGTTGCAACGTCACAGCATGAGGAGTCGGTACGGGGGCCCATGGCAGATTACGGGCCTGGCAGCAGCAATGGGAGGCCCGTAATCTGCCAGCACCCTATGTCAAAAAATTGAACACACCAGCAGTGTGTGAGGAGACCTGAAAGTGGCACATGGCAGAGTGTGGCGATGGAGACAGCAGCAATGGGAGGCCGTACAGGGACCCATGAGAGACTCTGGACCTGGCAGCAGCATGAGGAGGCGGTATAGGGGCCCATGGCAGATTAGGGGCCTGGCAGCAGCTATAGGAGGCCCGTTATCTGCCAGCACCCTATGTCAAAAAATTGAACACACCAGCAGTGTGAGGAGACCTGAAAGTGGCACATGGCGTGAGACACTGTGGACCTGGCAGCAGCATGAGGAGGCGGTACAGGGGCCCATGACAGATTAGGGGCCTGGCCGCAGCTATGGGAGGCCCGTAATCTGCCAGCACCCTATGTCAAAAAATTCAACACACCAGCAGTGTGAGGAGACCTGAAAGTGGCACATGGCAGAGTGTGGCGATGGAGACAGCAGCAATGGGAGGCCGTACAGGGACCCATGACAGACTCTGGACTTGGCAGCAGCATGAGGAGGCGGTATAGGGGCCCATGGCAGATTAGGGGCCTGGCAGCAGCTATGGGAGGCCCGTAATCTGCCAGCACCCTATGACAAAAAATGGAACACACCAGCAGTGTGAGGAGACCTGAAAGTGGCACATGGCAGAGTGAGACAGCACTGTGGACCTGGCAGCAGCATGAGGAGGCGGTACAGGGGCCCATGGCAGATTAGGGGCCTGGCAGCAGCTATGGGAGGCCCGTAATCTGCCAGCACCCTATGTCAAAAAATGGAACACACCAGCAGTGTGTGGAGGAGACCTGAAAGTGGCACATGGCAGAGTGTGGCGATGGAGACAGCAGCAATGGGAGGCCGTACAGGGACCCATGACAGACTCTGGACCTGGCAGCAGCATGAGGAGGCGGTATAGGGGCCCATGGCAGATTAGGGGCCTGGCAGCAGCTATGGGAGGCCCGTAATCTGCCAGCACCCCTATGTCAAAAAATTCAACACACCAGCAGTGTGTGAGGAGACCTGAAAGTGGCACATGGCAGAGAGTGTGGCGATGGAGACAGCAGCAATGGGAGGCCGTACAGGGACCCATGAGAGACTCTGGACCTGGCAGCAGCATGAGGAGGCGGTACAGGGGCCCATGGCAGATTAGGGGCCTGGCAGCAGCTATGGGAGGCCCGTAATCTGCCAGCACCCTATGTCAAAAAATTCAACACACCAGCAGTGTGAGGAGACCTGAAAGTGGCACACATGGGCGATGAGAGACAGCAGCAATGGGAGGCCTGGCACAGGGACCCATGAGAGACTGAGGACTGGCAGCAGCATGAGGAGGCGGTATAGGGGCCCATGGCAGATTAGGGGCCTGGCAGCAGCTATGGGAGGCCCGTAATCTGCCAGCACCCTATGACAAAAAATGGAACACACCAGCAGTGTGAGGAGACCTGAAAGTGGCACATGGCAGGGGCATGATTCATGGCGGATTTAGTCAGTTGTGTCAGGAACTGGTGGTTTGAAATCCAGACTAATCCACGCCTGATTCATTTTCACAAACGTGAGTCTCTCCACACTTTGGGTGGACAGTCGTGTCCTCCGCGGAGTTACAATACCTCCTGCCGCACTAAACACGCGCTCCGATGCCACGCTACTGGCCGGGCATGACAGCCTTTCAAGGGCAAATTCAGCTAGTTGGGGCCAAAGGTCAAGTTTCGTTGCCCAGTAGTCAAGGGGATTGTCTACCTCGGTTGGCAGGGTGCTGTCCAAGTAGGCCCAAGCCTGTTGTTTGAGGTCCTGCTCCAGGTCCACCTGATGCTGCTGTGCTGCGGGCTGGTTAGTAGTTTCCTCACTGCGCTGGTGAAGAAAGCTACTCATCATCGACTGCAGACTGAGGCAGCCGCTGCTGGTGGAGCTACCACTGCTCCTACCACCCCACCCCTCCCCTGCTGCCATGGCAGCGGAACGCGAGCGCACAGGGCCCACAGTGTCTGAGGATGGACGTTGGCGCACAAAGGCAGAGACCAACTGACTACATAGGTGGTTTTTATAGTACGTTATTTTGGCCTCCCTCTCAGCAGGTGTGAAAAAAGGCCACCATTTTTGAACGGTAGCGAGGGTCCAACAAGGTGGACAGCCAAAAGTCATCCCTCTGTCTGATGGTTATTATTCGGCTGTCGCTACGCAAGCAACCGAGCATGCTATGGGCCATTTGTGCCAAGGAATGCGAGGGACTCCCTGCCTCCATCTCCACAGCATACTGCCACGGTGCGTCTGGGTCCTCTGTCTCCTCCTCCTCCTCCTCCTCCCTACCAGATGCTCCTGCTCCTCCACTCCTGTCCGCTGAGTGGAAAAACCACCCATTTCACTCAATAATTCCTGAGCACAAATGTCCTCCTCTACCTCCTCCTCTTTCTTCCTGTCCTGCCCCCACAGGGGTCATGTGGCGTTGAGATCTGTGCGCCACGTCTACCGCACCCTGACCAGCCATTGTTAACAGCATTTGTTCCAGGACGTGCAACAGAGGAATGACGTCGTTCATCCCATAGTCCTGCCGACTCACGAATAGCGTGGCCTCCTCAAAGGGCCTGAGCAAGCGGCAGGTGTCACGCATGAGCTGCCAATGGCTGACATCGAAGTTACACAGGGGAGTACCTTTATCCGCTTGTAACATCAGGAAATCGGTGATGGCCTTTCGCTGTTCGTAAAGGCGGTCTAACATGTGTAGGGTTGAATTCCACCTTGTTGCAACGTCGCAGATCAGGCGATGCTGTGGAATTCCGTTCTGCCGCTGCAGCTCAAGGAGGGTGTGCTTTTTGCGGTGTAGGAATGGCTGAAATGCATGCAAAGTTTACGTGACATTTTAAGGATGTCTTGCAGTGGGATGGTGGATTTTAGGAACCGCTTGACAACCAGATTGAACACGTGAGCCATGCATGGCGCATGGCACAACCTTCCTTGACGCAGAGCAGACACCATGTTCTTTCCGTTGTCGGTCAACATGGTTCCGATTTTCAGTTTGCGCGGAGACAGCCATCTGTCGATTTCTCTGTTCATTACACTGAGAAGTTCCTCCCCTGTGTGACTACGTTCGCCAAGGCATACCAGGTGCAGCACAGCGTGACACCGTTGCGCCCTGCACATGTGATATGCCGGTCGGGTAATGGGACTTGGCACGGGGGGTGGCGGCTGAGGACACGGGAAGAAGAGGTGGTAGAGGCGGACATCTTTTGTGGACCAAGGACGTGCAAACGTGGAGGCAAAAGCGGCGTGACCTGTCCAAGTGCTGGTGCGGCTGTGACGGCACCACGTTCACCCAGTGGGCCGTAAATGACATGTACTGTCCCTGACCGTAGTTACAGCTCCACACGTCGGCGCTGCCGTGCACTTTGGCAGAGACCGACATGCTCAAAGACTGGCCCACCATCTCTTCTACATGTGAATGCAGGGCTGGCACTGCCTTTTTGGCGAAGAAATGACGGCTTGGCACTCTCCACCGCGGCGCGGCACAAGCCATCATTTCTCGGAAAGGTGCTGAGTCCACCACTTGGAAAGGAGGGACTGCAGCACCAGCAACTTGGACAGGAGGACGTTCAGCTTTTGCACCGTCGGGTGCGTGCTCGCAAACTGTTGTCTCTTGGAAACGGATTCCAAGAAAGACTGCTGACGGAATCCGTGAAGAGGAGTAGCAGGAGAAGGAGCATCTGAACGAGCGGAAGATGCCAACGAGCGACAACTCCCCTCAGCAGAGGTGTTGGAGCCTTGACTGGCTGATAGAGGGCGATTGACGTCGGGTGACGGAGCAAGTAACGGAGCGGGTGATGGAGCGGGGGCTGGGGCGGGCAGAACCGCCGTATCTTTATCACGGTTTTCCCAGGCCACCAAATGGCGACGCTGCATATGCTGCCGCAACGCTGTAGTCCCAACATGGGCCCCCTGGCCACGCTTGACTTTCTGGCCACATAGTCGACATACGGCTACGTTTACTTCCTCGGGCGGCTTGACAAAAAATTGCCACACCGCCGAGTAGGAAACTTTGCCCCCCGACTCTCTCTCACTGGCTGACTGCTGCTTCCTCCGTGCACACCGGCACCACTACTGGCCGTGGTGGTAGGCTGCAGTGGAGCTGGTGCTGTACTCCGTGGCCGTTTGCCTCCACTGACACTGCTGCGACCCTGCTGCCTCCTGGGCAACCCACCGACTGTTTTGCTCGCTGCCAAGCTGCCACCCTCTTCTCCTGATGATGCGGAAGCAATAGCCTGATGACGACGAGGCTGCCAAGTGCGATCAGCCTCCTCATCATCAATTAGGGTCTCCGCCTCACTACTAGCCCCCTCGGCTGCGTGTGGGTCAGGAGACAGACCTGTCTCTAGACCGGCTACCGAGCCACTCTCCTCGCCACTACTTCTTCGCCTGGCTGCTGCTGAAGAGGCGGATGTCTCCCCCCGTTCCTGACCGCCCTCTGTTAGCTCTTCCTCACTGTACAGTGGGGCTGAGCCCACAGCATGCGATACTTCGCTTGGTGAGGGAACACCAAAGGACAGGGGCAGGGGCAGGTAGAGGACACGTGATTTCAGTGGGCTTGGTCCCGGGCCATGCCAACTAACGGTTGTGTCTGACGTACCCACCGACCGTTGGCTGTAGGTGTCAGAGGTGACCTGGGAAGAGGAAGACGACCGAGAGCCAACCAATCGATGACGGCAGGGTTGTCGGTGGAGACACGACCGCTGGATGACACCGGGAGCACTGGCCTCTGGCTGCGAATAGTGCTGCCTCGACCCCTTCCTCTGCTGCCACGTCTGCTCGCTCCTAAAACATTGCCTCCTCTGCCACTCCTCTGCATGTTGTCTGACATACTCTTTAATTAAACGATTCTGTGTCCCTGAGTAACAATTCTGTGTCTGTCCCTGAGTAACAATTCTGTGTCCCTGAGTAACGTTTCTGTGCCCTAAGTAACAATTCTGTGTCCCTCAGTAACAATTCTGTGTCCCTAGTAACAATTCTGTGTCCCTCAGTAACAATTCTGTGTCCCTCAGTAACAATTCTGTGTCTGTCCCTGTGTAACAATTCTGTGTCCCTGAGTAACAATTCTGTGTCCCTCAGTAACAATTCTGTGTCCCTCAGTAACAATTCTGTGTCCCTGAGTAACAATTCTGTGTCCCTGAGTAACAATTCTGTGTCCCTCAGTAACAATTCTGTGTCCCTCAGTAACAATTCTGTGTCCCCCTGAGTAACAATTCTGTGTCCCTAAGTAACGTTTCTGTGGCCCTAAGTAACGGTTCTGTGGCCCTCAGTAACAATTCTGTGTCCCTCAGTAACAATTCTGTGTCCCTCAGTAACAATTCTGTGTCCCTCAGTAACAATTCTGTGTCTGTCCCTGAGTAACAATTCTGTGTCTGTCCCTGAGTAACAATTCTGTGTCCCTGAGTAACAATTCTGTGTCCCTCAGTAACAATTCTGTGTCCCTCAGTAACAATTCTGTGTCCCTGAGTAACAATTCTGTGTCCCTGAGTAACAATTCTGTGTCCCTCAGTAACAATTCTGTGTCCCTCAGTAACAATTCTGTGTCCCTGAGTAACAATTCTGTGTCTGTCCCTGAGTAACAATTCTGTGGCCCTAAGTAACGTTTCTGTGGCCCTAAGTAACGGTCTGTGTGCCCTCAGTAACAATTCTGTGTCCATCAGTAACAATTCTGTGTCTGTCCCTGAGTAACAATTCTGTGTCCCTAAGTAACGTTTCTGTGTCCCTAAGTAACAATTCTGTGGCCCTAAGTAACATTTCTGTGGCCCTAAGTAACAATTCTGTGTCCCTCAGTAACAATTTCTGTGTCCCTAGTAACATTTCTGTGTCCCTAAGTAACGTTTCTGTGGCCCTAAGTAACGTTTCTGTGGCCCTAAGTAACGTTTCTGTGGCCC